ATATATAAACCTCCTCATACATATATATGCTCTTCTCAATACAAACTCCCCGTCAATGACCAATATCCCCTGTCGCTTTCTATGACAATTCATATATCAACAGGGTATTTAAGCCTAAATGACGCATGCAAATACAAGTTTCCATTCGATTTGTATTCGATAAAAACATGTCTCGACGTACTTATATACATACATCTATATTTATGTGTATGCGTGTAAATATGATTTGGCAAACTGGATGCGTTCAGGCTTTCAGGCATATTTTTGTCCCGATTTAAAAGCCAAAAATGCAAATGTCAAAATATTTTCACATTCAGTGCGCAAAACGAAAAGCCCAAAATGGAAAATTAACAAAAACAAAAATTGACACAAATGTTGCTCGGCAAAATATTTGCAGAAAATTGTTTAATATTTTCTCTTTGTGACCAGAAAAAGAAAAACAAAAATTAGGATTATGATAATATGTTTATATAAGCATACAGAAAATTATATATACATACATATATCTACATTGAAACCCAAACACAATTGCTGTAAATTGGGGAAAAAAAACAAGAGTTTTGGTCAAGAGAAAATAAAAGAAAATTCTTGTCTAGTCACAAAATTTTAATGAAATCAGAGTATTTCGAACTCATTTTCTCTATTCTGTTTGTTTGTTTTTTCTTTTTAGCAAATACTGCATCGAGACTGAAAATTCACAGGAAAATCCAATTGCAAATAGCAAATGGTAAGTTTTGTCTTTAATTTTTACTTTTTTTTATTATTATTAGAGCAAAATTTAAAACGTATTTCGAGTTGAATATATCAAGCAGAATATTTATATTATGTAGTACGTTGTGTTTTTTAATTTAAATTTTAATTAATTTTGTGAATATATATAGTCTTCTTTTCAAGCCTATCACATATTTACAAAAAAAAAAAAAACAAAAAAAAAAAAATAAAACAAAAAAAAAAACATTGAAGATAAATCGAAAAGAAACAAAGATAATTCAATGTTGAAATCACACTTTTACTGCAAAGGTGCGACAGAATTTTGATCCCAATATTGTTTGTATTCAATGATATACATATATATACATATATATTAAGAGTATTTCAAATTACATAACTCAGTTTTCTTGGGATACAAAAAATCAGGTTTTTCATAATAAATTATATTATATTATATTAAATTATTACTGAACTTTGCAATGGAAACTAAATAGGAAATTTATCAAGTAATACAGATATATAATATATATTTTTGTTTGCATGAATCAAATATATTTAATTTTACATACATTTATCGATGCTTATTTCTTACATATTTATTTTTCTATTTACTTACAACTCTTTGCATTTCTGTATTGGTTTATTTTTTTTTTTCATATTCCATACAATTTTTAATTTTTTATCAGTTGTACTGCTCTCATGGTATATTCAATTAAGAGGTATTAAAATTCTCTTAGTTAGAAAATTAAAAATAAAAGGAAAATAAGGAATGCCCAATTTTAAGATATATCCCAACCACATCTATGTATTATGCTTCATGGCTCATAAAGGTCCAGGCACCTTTTCAAGTGATTTAAAAATAAAGGACCCGAGAACAGGTCCAAAATAGGGGCAAGCCGTAAAACCCGTTCCCATCATGTCTGCATTTTTATGTGCTTAATCCTTTTTGACTTCACATTCGCCGCCATATATATATATATATATATATATATATATATATATATATGTATATGTATATACATATGTAGCGGAACAATCTGTCACTTTGTGACCATAATGAAAACTTTCGCACATGAGTACAAAAATATATATAAATTTGCCGAGTTGAATCGTAAAAATTCGTAAACTGCGTAGTCAACGCAAAGCGCAACAAGCAAATGCACTCAGAAAAAATAGGAGGGTGGAGAAGCAAAGAGAGGGGTACATTCCGTAAAGGCAAACAAAGCTATAAAGGAAAAAATAAAGACAACAACAAAACGTGTCAAGCGATAAGCAGGAGCTGCCCCAAAATGTGTCCCGTGCAGCGTGCAGCTGCAACTTTACGAGCCAAAAGACGGTCTGGTCGGATGGGGTGGGGAGGAGCTGCCCCCACTTTTTGTGCAGTGTCATAAGAGCTGGTGGCTCACGTCGCCTGGGCCATTTGATGTTGCATACTTTTGCGCGTCTGTTAGTATTAATTTGCTGAGGTAACGGTTACCTGCCCGCATGCTCGAAAACATGGGCGTGGCATCAGCAGGCGAGGGTGACAGAGGGGCGCTGGCGGTGGCATAGTTCAAGGAGCTTCAGCTCCTGCTGCTCATTATGCATGCTTGTCCGCACGTATCTGCTTTGAGCAACACACAGAAAGCGGGAGGGCGTGGGGAAAGGGGCAGTAGCAGGAGCAAGAACTTGGCAAGTTTTAGCAATTTCATTTTCAATTGACTGGCGACCAGGACACGCAGCCAGTGTTGGCTAACCAACAGCAATTGAGCGTATGAAATGCCGCAAAAGCAGGAGCCCACACAAAAGTTTCGCAACACACACACACACACACAATCACGCACACAAAGACACTAGAATCCTTTGCTTTCAATTCGTTTCCTTTCTATTGCAGCTACTTATTTTACTTGTGTGTGAGTGTGTGTATGTGTGTGTATTTGCTTAGCTTAGCTATTGGGTTATACCCAACATTTTACAACATATTAAGAGTTAGGGCTGTGCCAGCGGGCTGCACTCAAAGAAAATAGCAAGCTGATTGGGTCCACACTAAGTAGACACAAATTCGTTGTTGGGCAATCAAATTAACTTCAAAGTTTTCAAAGCAAAGAAATGAAATGCAAGACTTTACTATGTATATATACACTTTTGCTCTTGTTAATGCATATTTTTCGACTACTTTTAAGGAAGAAATCGTAAAAAAATGAAGGATTTGTATATTCAGTTGGAAGGAATTTTATGAAAGTAATCGCCTGTTTTTTTACACAACTAATGATATGTTTTTCTTACATGGAATAAAATTTATTTATTTATTAAAAATTAGTACTTTTTTTTTGCATTCAAATTTAGTAGGCTAACACAATCGATAAATATTAATAAACCAAACTTCATTAAACATGAAAGCACTAAAGCAATACAGCAATAGAACAATGAATATCACACTGAAACAAGTGCAGTTACATTCTTGTAAATTTTTCATAAACAACTAATACAAAATTGGATTCATTAATACAAACTTATTTATTAGGCAAAAAAAAAAAAAAAATTTAATGTTTTATTTAATTAAATTATTTTTTAGAAGGTTTAAAAACTTGACGAATGGAATGGATTTTGAAGCCACTTAAATGTAATGTATAAAAAAAGTTTTATACAATCAGTCTAGTATATACCGAAAGTCTAGTATTACACCATAGAGTACACTTGCTTAGATTTCATATCAGAATTCGTTTAGATTTTCTCTCAGTGTCGGTATCTATTGCAAAGTTTTCTAGCAAAATTACGCAGCACAGACACGCACAATTCATTTGCAAATAGAACAGTTTAATTTGTTGTCTTTTGTGCCAGCTGATATCCTTGATATCCTCCTCCACACATGTCCGGGCGCCGAACAAAAGTTGCAACAGAAAAGGCTAAAGGTGGTGCTCGAGGGAGGAGGGGGACAGTAGAGAAAATGGTGGGGGCCAGGGGGCAGCTGCTTAAAGCCCGCATTTTACACACAGCCACACACAAAAGATTACTTTATGACCAGAGACAGAGAGGGAGAGGGAGATATAGTGAGAGTGAGAGAGAAAGAAGTTAACATTATGGTTGGCAAATCTAGGCGCTGCCCATAAAACAGAAGCTGTTCAATACAGCGCTGCCCAGCAATTGCGAGCCCCTCGCCCACTCGCCTCTCTCTCATTCAAGCCTTCTCGCTCTCACTCTTTTTGACCATCCCACAAGTCCAGCATCCCAGCATTGACTCCCGATGAACTGTATTTGCACTGAATTCGTGGGAAAAGATTCTAGACTCTAGACTCGGTAAAATCCAACTCGATTTTGCATTGGCACGTAGCTCTGCTTTGCTTTGTGCCTTCCTTTTGCCTAATGGCCAAATTATACGTTCAGCTGGCAGCGATTTGATGGCCTTCAGTTATGTGGCCAAAGATCTGGCACCACTTGACAAATGAGACCACAGCCCAACCTCAAAAAGCTCAACCAGACATGCGATACGCAAAATCTGCCTCCTGCTACTCCTGCTGCTGCGCCTGCTCTTGCTGCTGTTCATTGGCCAGCAACAGCAACCATAACTGCGCAGCGTTTTGATTTATCACCCGAGTGGAATACGAATGGAGAGCATTGAGGCACATCGGAGAGGAAAATTGCAATTAGTGGGAAAGTAGATGGTGATTGTTGTAGAGCTAAAACAACTGTAGATGCTGGTCAAAAGAATAGGTGATTATCCTTATAATTTTAGGCTCTCAGGTCAGACTTTTAGAATACCTATGCATAGTTCAAGCGAAACTTTCACTATAGAATCAAGAATTTACGATTTATATAGCATTCTTAATATCTTGTATATTATATTCAAGGACCAAGATCAAATTCTAATTGAAAATTTTGTGATATGCCAACATAAACTATAATACATTAAATTATATTTTCCAGCTCTACAAGAAAATCCTGAAAGAATATATATGAAGTTACTCCATTGAAGGAAGTAATTTATCAGTTATCAACAGTTATCTTTAATTATTAATTATTGCTCATTGAAAGTTTAAACCAAGATTTAGTCATATTATTTCATATTTTTTCATGATGTACCTGAAATTATATATTATTTTTGTGATTCATCAGACAACATATATCAACATCATTCGAATTGTTTAGAATATCGAATGACTATTATTTAATTTTTATATAATTTATTTTCATATTTTGACTTGTTTATGTACAAAGACTGCATATCTTTATATATATTGTTTGCATTTTAGCAATAAAACGAGTTCGTTAAGTATTTAGTCAAACCGTATAGGAAATCGCACGCTACTCACGTTATTAAATATCGCCATAATTTTCGACCTTTGCTGTTCTCCTTGTTCGCGTCTAAACTCTAAGGCAGCTGAAGCGTTTTCGATCAGCACATTTGTAGCTATAAGAAAGAGATAAAAAGATAAGAATGTTTGATTAGTCGTAAGTCATGGCAAATAAACTCTTGGCTAACAATAAATTTTGTTTATATTCCTCAGAGTTCGACGTGGCTCACACTGGCGGAATGGGAACCTCTTTGGCAGAGGCCTCTTCAGCATAATTTTATTTATTTGTTTTTGGAAAATGTATGAAAATGTTTTATGTGGCACAACAATAAATATAAAAATATTGCAATAAATAAACCAATTTTCCATCAGTCAATAAAAACAAAATTTAAGAGACTTTCTTATGGGTGGACCGATTGCAGGACCAAGGGGTCTACCGCCTACGAGCGGCAGGTGAGCCCTGGGAGCTGCAGCAGCCGCATTTATGTGGGCACAAAATGATTGTTATTATACCTTCATATTATTATTATTATTGTTATCAAAGCCAATGTCAAGCCCCAACGGAGTCGAAACATGAAACATGGAAAAACAACAACGACAACAACAACTGGAAAGGAAAACTCTGCCAAAAGTCAGCAGCCAAAAGAGGAAACGGCGACAGCCAAGAAACGTGCCAGGCATAAGGACAGCCGCACCACAGGACATACGCCGACTGAGGAGCGAATGTGTATGTGGGCATGTGTGTGTGTATGTGTGTGTGTGCAAAAATTTATGTTTTGTTTGTTTATTTGTTTATATGCTGCAGTGCTTTGTGAACTGTTTCCTACACAGCGCACACAATCGCAGCGCAGTAGCTCATGCAAATTTATATACACCTGCCCGGATGCCATCATAAATATTCGCCAAAAATATCTCATTTCAGCGCCTTTTGTCTACCTGGAGCCGTTGGCTGCGCTCGCTTGTCACGTGTCGACATCATTACCGCACGTAGCGCCGTTATTTATACAAAATGTATATCGTTTATAGCGACAAAACTCACCCACACCAGGCTTTGACTGTCACCCTAACCCCCTGAGCTCCATCCCACACAAATACATGGCCGAAAAAAAAATGGCTAAGCGTGGAATTATTTATGATATGCGACTGGTTAGATACTCTATGCTATTAAACATAACACAAAAAAATCAATTATATATTTCTTAACATATAAGGAATGCAAATCTAAACGAGAATCCTATGAATGAATGCATATGAATCTCAAATATCTCTTTGCTAAATATCTCCAGCATATTTTTATTCCTTAGTGCAATCATGAACTTACTCATCCATCATTAATATCCAAAATATAGATGAAATTTACATTTCTGCTTATTCCAAATATTTATTTGCAACTTTTTGCATTTCATGCTATGAATAAAATAATATTTACAAACATTTCAAATGGTTTGCAAATTACATAAAGTTTTGTTACACATCTAAGTTGAATGAAATTCAATCTATTTTTACATAACGATATTCACCAAAATTGCACTAGAGCTTCTTTTGTAAATCCAATCTCTAAAAGCTTCAGCCCTTTGGCTTTGAAGTGGACCTTTTGCCATTTTATCAGTCAGTCAAACCGTCAATTGTTATAGCTCCACTGGCTTAGACATATCATATTTGAAATTTTGCCAGAATTGTAAGGCCTCTAGGCAAGTGTATTAAAGTTGAGAAGAAAAGAAATTCAAATCATCTGGCAGTTTATTTTCACTGTTTTTTGCTTTGTTTCTTTTTTTTTTTCTTTTTGGGAGGTCTGGAGCAATTTTACTAATTGTTCAATTCATGCAGAGAGCTGCGGCAGCTGCTGCTGTCGCTTGTCTTTATTGTTGTTGTTGTCGCTTTGCCGGCTTGTCGGTTTGCCGGTTTGTCGCTTTAGCAGCTCCTTTGGGGCATGCAATTTACGACACATGTGCACGGCCGGGCCGAGAACATGGCCAAAATGTAGAGGCAGCTCAGCTCAGTGGAGCAGCAGCTCAGAGTGTTACAGTTAATTTGTTGACAGCTTAGTTGCCCAACGCTGACTGAACGGCATGAAACGAAACGGCATGCCATGGAATGGGACGCCCAACTCCAAGCTGCACTCCTTGGGGGCTACAAGATGTCCACATACTGCAAATGTGACCAGCGCAAAGGCCGAGACAGCGCGCAATTGTAATTAGAGAGTATGGTAAATAGTTTCAGATGGGGTGGACGGACGTATGTAATGGACCTATAGAGAGAGAGAGAGAGAGAGAGAGAGAGAGAGAGAGAGACAGGGGGACATGTGCACACAAAGTTCTTGCGGAAATTAGATGGTATTTAATGAAAATAGAGATAGACAGAGGGCAGTTCCATGTGCTTAAATGCATAGCACATTCACATTCAGCTTATTTTGTTTTAAATGGCGAAAGCTCACAACGACTTCGAGAAATGAGGAGTAAAGGAGTAGGCGAGGAGTAAAGGAGTAGAGAGCCACATCAAGTATATCAATGATTTTCCTTGATGTTGTTCCTTAATGTTAGCCCAGCTCGAGCATTTACCAGGGCGAGCTCTGTAAACAAAATCTATATTTTTCCAAGAACTTGACGATTTCATAATTTTGTAATGGAAATACATTTTAGATGTGAAAAAACCGTTTATTATTTATTTATTTTTTTTGTTTTAGGCAAAGAACCAAAACATCTTTGTAATTTTGTACAAAGACGGGAACGCCGTAAAACATTTGCTGATTTTAACATGAATTTTTACAAATCTAGAAAACAAATCATTTTAAAAAAGTTTTGACTGAGCTGTGGGAGATCTGGAAAATTATAATGTTTCCCGTGTATGCGTGTTTAAAGTATTTCTTAATAAGCACACGCTCTTCTTACTCTTAAATATATTACATTCCATGCTTCAATTCTTGTGCATTTAATTCTCTATCAGCCTCGCTCTATCAATTCCTTAGATCCTAACAAGCGCCTTCATTATTATGATAGCCGCTTTTCCCTCTCTCTACTTTTCACTTCACTCCAATTTTACACGTTGTCCTGCCAACTCATCCATGGATGCCCTTAGGCCTTACACACACACATATACGCACACATCAGTAGGGATGGAAGCAACCACATTTTTTTTTAGTAAGTAAGATTTGATTATCAATTGTCCAGCTGAGAAGAAACTTAAGACTCATCGCTAGCCAAAAGAAGGCAGAGCGAAACACACCCGCACACATAGACATATATATACATTATTGATATTTCCCCCAATTCGTTTCGCTATAAATACAATTTGGATTTCAATTTTCAATTGCTGCTGCTTCTGCAGCAAAGATGTCAAATTTCAACGAAGACGACAACGTCAACTAATTGGGTTTCAGGGCTTGTCAAAGATAGCAAAAGGCAAAAAAAAAAGTAAAATAAAAAATAAAATAAATACGATTGTGTGGAGCAATATTTTGCCAGCAGGTGGAGAAATGTGTAAAAGAAAAAGATTAAATTTCCTTGTTACCGACTTACGGCTGAGCACAAAATGAGAAAAAACGACAAAAGTGAAAATAAATATTGAATTATTGATATACAATACATATTTAATATGTATGTATATATATATACATATACCTATATGATGAGTGTGGAGCTTGAGTTGACAAAGTTGTATTTACTTATCAAAGGGGTTTTTTTTTCTTCGACACGAACTCATTTCAAATGCAGCTGACAATTTGCGTTCGGCAGCTAAAAACATACATTTTTCATAAAAGCCGCTCAAAATGCGTTGACGTATTGGAAAAAAAGCTGACAAACACACAGGCAGCAGCTTTATGCCTTTCTATGCGCTTCACAGCGCGCTGCCTTTATTCCATTAAGCCTGAGAGAAGTGTTCTAGAATTGTGTTTCTCATTAACAAACTTTTTTTTTTCAAAAATTGTATTGAAATTTATTAAAAGTCCTCGGATATGTATTATTATATTAAATTATTTTCTATAGCTTAATGTTATTTTTCATTATGTTATAAGATTATTTTTTATTATAATAGGAGCATTTATTGGGCTCCTAATTAACTTTACTGCCCTAACTAAAAAGAGCAGAAACTGGGTCGAATTCGCAGCGATTTTGTATGCTGGAACAGTCGTGTACTGTATTTAATTCTCTTACTTTCTGCGCTTCGCTCAGCTTATTGTCAGCGCAAATATTTGTTTGTTTGTCTTTTGACGTAAGACTCAGCCACCCAACCACATCACAGAGATATATGGCTCCAGAGAGCGGCCCGACCAACCGCCAGGCTGCTCAGCAGGAAGCAGGAAGGCGGTCAGGTGGGCGGGGCGTGGCGTGGCGTGGCTTATTTCGTTTAACGGGAATGCTGCGTTGGGACCAGGAGCTGGCAATATTTTGCATGTTTGCATACAAAATATCATATTTGCTGAGATTGTTTCATTAAAAAAAAAACGTAGAAAACGGAAGGTGGTGCAGATGGTACAGGTGGTGCTGCCTAGAGCTAAGCAGCAATTACCTTTAGGCATGCCAGTACGTGTTAAGCTTTAGCACCTACACTCCCACACACACGCACACCACATGCGTGGACCATAAAATGGTCATATTACCAAAAAAGAAAAAAAAAGAACAACAAAAATATAGAGAAATAGAGAGGAAAAACGCAGAGAAAATTGGTTTTTCCACGCTCCATGCCAACAGAAATAATATAATATCTGCGAACAGGCGAGCCGAGTCGAGCCAAAACCACTTGAGTGCCAACTGAGGGGAAACTAGTTGTGCATGCCAAACAGGTGGACGGCTGTCGTAGCCATAAAATGAACTCACAGCGCATGTACAACGCATGTATTGAAAATACATAAAGCCTAAAAGCAGCCGAAAGAGTTTTTGGTTTTCAAATGAAATCCCCAGATATCAGAAACCATAAAAAAACTTGCTGGCGAAATTGTTGCAATACATAAACTTTCTATGCGCCGATATATGATTTGATAAGTTTTTGCATATTCTTCAGATCTATAAAGTTGAACTTGTACTGCATGGCAAGAACGGATACTGCGTAAGAGTGGATCTCTATACTTGGAAGATATATCACAGGTATTGACTTATGTAAAATTCTATCTACATCATAT